AAAGGAAGCCACAAAAGAAGAGATAAATTTATTTTGAAATTAAAATTTGAAACTATGTAATCTAGTACTGAAAAAGAAAAATTTTCAGCTTCATGTTATTATAACTATTAAAAAATAAATGGTGACAGTGATTGTGAACTCAAGTAAGAGATAACCATTCATGTATTCACTCAAACGCATTTTGGAGTATCTACTAGATGACAGCATTGGTATGGTTACTGGGGATACGGCATAGGACTGAGAAACGCTCTGATGAGTCCATCCTACTAGGGCTTGACTGACCATAAACAGATACAATGATTCGGGTTGACTAAGTTCATCAGAGAAAAATACCGCAGGTCCAGAGGTCAGCAGAATGTTCTTTACAGCGGTCTGTCTTTTCCCATTCTAAGACTTGCATACCGCAGAAGGCATTCTGGTGAGGTGTCAGAATAACTCTTGTCTTTGTCATCCAGGAAACGGTATGAGCAGAGAATCCCATATCCTACCCTCCACCACTGTAGTTTGACACATAAGCTCGCAAACAGATCTTTGCTTTGCCTGGTGTTCCAACTTGCTGATCAGTGACTTCTTTCAAGCTAACTCTAGTGGTGTTGCAAGTGCATTTAAGGTGACATGTACAATTTGCAAACTCTGCACATTCCCTGAAGTTCAGAGAAGTGCTGACATGCTATACGAAGGAAACAAATTATAGAAGCTCCCTAGCAGAGGGAGGAGATTTTTGCTTTTTCTTTTTCACCTTTGGTGACGGTGGTGCTTAACGTTGAGATTACTTATACCTAGGAAAAGATGAGAGTATGTTGTGGATATTCCCTATATCTCTTCTTCTTATTTTTATATCCCCTGTGTCCATGGGTAAATAATTTTTCTTCATCTGCAGAATGGGAATGGGTGACCGATTTAGCTTAAGGAAGAAACTAGAAAACTGAAGAGGAAAGCCCTGGGAACCACAGTGGCAAAAGCTTATATTTAGTGAACTGAAACCTCTGTGACAGTCGACAAGTTAGAGTAGGTGACATAGAGCATGGCTTTTGCTGAAAACAGTATCAACAGAGATGCTTTCACATGAATTGGCTAGACGTCTTTTTTTTTATTTTATTAAAAATTTTTATTAGTGAAACACCATGAGGTACAGTTGTAGACTTACAAATTTTTGTGCTTGGCTTTCAGTTATAGAATGATCGAGTACCCATCCCTCCACCAGTGCCCATTCTAGAAGTCTTTTTATCTATGCCCTCAGCTTTCTCTTTTGCTTGATTGGGTCAAAGGGACAAGGGTGGAGGCTGAAGATATTGGAAACTGAACCATTTCAACTGTTGGGGAGGAGGCATGGTCCTGGGGAGGCTGTGGATGGAAAGATGTCACCAATGTGTCAGCTATGAAAATACAGAAGAGCTAAAATTGGCATAGCAAATGGTTGTAAATTCTGTGGCAGTTGCTCTCACCAGGCTCTTTTTTTGTTTTTTGCTTTTTGGGTCATACCTGGTAATGCTCAGGGGCTATTCCTGGCTTAGAACTCAGGAATTACACCTGGCGGTGCTCAGGGGACCATATGGGATGCTGGGAATCGAACCTGGGTCGGCTGCATGCAATACAAACACCCTACCTGCTGTGCTATCACTCAGCTCTCTATCATGAGGCTCTTATACTTAGGTAGCTACCAGATAGTTTCTTAGAGACAAATGACAACTACTGTGCTCACTTGAAATTTAAGAGTAGTCTCAAATTAATGAATGGAAGGTGTAGAGCCAGGAGTAAGCCCTGAAGATGGCCCCCACAAAATAAACTAACATCCTCCCTTCTAGTCATTGCCTAGATTCTTCATACGTGGATACAGAAGAATCATTTGAGGAGGTCGTCTGGTTCCAACAACCTTAGCGTTTCATTCCGTCATGGTGCTATTGAGGGACATTGTCTTTTTTTTTTTAATTCAGAAAATCTCATCATTTTATTTATTTATTTATTTATTTTATTTTTATTTTTTATTTTTTTTATCATTTTTTTTATTAGTGAAACACCATGAAGTACATTTATAGACTTATAAATTTTTGTGCTTGGGTTTCAGTTATACAATGATCAAGTACCCATCCCTCCACCAGTGCCCATCCTCCCCCACCACGGGTCCTAGCATCCCTCCCACCCCTCCCCCCCTCCCCCCCGTCCCAACCTGCCGCTGTGGCAGGGCATTCCCCCTTGTTCTCTCTCTCTTCTTTTGGGTACTGTGTTTTGCCAGAGAGGCATTGAGTGGCAATCATGTTTGGTCTATAGACTACTTTTAGCAGGGACATTGTCTTTTAATCAACGCTAAGTTTGACAGAAACACTGTCTGAAACATTATCTTTAAAATAAAGGGAAGGGAAGACATACATCAAAAAGAACAAGAACAACCAGTGCTAGTGCAGATGTGGGGAGAAAGGGATTCTTATTGTTGGGGGGAATGCCAACTGGCCCAGCCTTTTGGAAAACAATATGGGTAGGCCTTAAGACCTACCATATGACCCAGCAATACCACTTAGGAATATATCCCAAGGGTGTGAAAAAGCACAGTAGAAATGACATCTGCACCCGCATGTTCATTGCAGCACTGTTCACAATAGCCAGAATCTGGAAATAACCTGAATGCCCGAGAACAGATGACTGGTTAAAGAAACTTTGACATATTTACACAGTGAAATACTATGCAGCTGTTAGGAAAGATGAAGTCATGAAGTTTGCTTATAACTGGATGTCATGAAGAGTATCATGCAAATTGAAATGAGTCAGAAAGAGAAGGTCAGACATAGAATTACTGCACTCATTTGTGGAATATAAAATAATATAATATGAAACTGACACCCAAGGACAGTAGACATAAGGGCCAGGAATATTACTCCATTCTTGGAAGTCGGCTTCTGGGGGATAAGGCACCTGGAATAGAGAAGGGATCATTAAAGTCAATGATGGTTGGAGGGATCGTTTGGGATGGAAGATCTGTGCTGAAAGTAGATAAAGGATTAAATGTGATACCCTCTTAGCATCTATATTGCAAACCTAATTCCCCAAAGTAGAGAGGGAGAGTATGGGAGAAACTGTCTGTCATAGAGGCAAGGGGAGGGTTGGGATGGTATACCCAGATGGATATACTGGGGACATTGGTGGTGGAAAATGTGTACTGATGGAGGGATGGGTATTCGATCATTGTATGACTGAAACTCAAACGTGATAGCTTTGTAACTGTATCTCATGGTGATTCAATTAAAAAATTAAATTATGTTTCCCAGAGAATTAAAATTTCTAAAAAATGCATAGTCCAAAATAAAAAAAATAAAGGGCTGAGGAATGCATGAGATATATATATCTATATATATATATATAGATAGATATACAAATATCTATACTAATATCTATTTGTATAGATATTTGTATATCTGTACAAATACAGTTGTATAGTATTTGACTTGCATGTGTCAATCCCTGGGCTTGGTCCTTGGTGCCCCCAAATCAAATAACCTAACAAAGCATCAAATCAATGAAGGGATAGGTTTTTTTTTAAAAAAAAAGTTTTTTTTTCCTACCTCTGACCATTTAGAACTCCAGTTTAAAAATTAATTTTAAATACTGTTCCTTTATGATGGTTTTGGAGATACCAGATACGTGGTTCCCCATTCTCCTCAGTTGACTTCACTGTAGAGTGTGATCCATTCCGGGATTTCTCACCACTTTAATCCATTTGAGTCTCCTATTCACTTACCTCTTCTTTTTCATGGGAGCAAGTTCAATGTTGATCCGAATGTCATTTTACCTCCTTCTACTCAGCTTCAGTGGAGGCTGAAAGTTCTCTCCAACTCTCTTCCTCAAAATTCTCTTCTACTGTCCATGTCCACAGATGGACATCGAGAGGACATGTTGATCAGACTCCTAATTGTGCTCCTGTATCTCCCGTTCTTTCTGTGGTTCCACAAGCATGTTACTATGCCTCCTGTCCTTCCAGATTTTACAGTGGGAAGACTTGATGAGCACTGTTAATCTGTTGGAGATCTAGAAGAAAGAAAAGCTTTTCCTTATCCCAAACTGATTTGAGCTGGGTACATAACGCAGGACCCCGGAAGCAAGGTCTTTTGGTGCGGGCCACACCCACCAGTGTTCAGGGACTGTTCCTGGCTCTGTATTCAGGAGTGACTCCTGGTAGTGTTCCATAAAGCGTGCTGGAGATTTGAACCAGGGCTGCAGCCGTTGCAGTCTCATGGAAGACGAGTACCTTACCTCCTGTGCTATCTCCCCAGCCCTGAATTTTCTGTTCTCATTTTGAGAAAACGCATGGATTCCATGTGACCCCGGATCCCTAGGAAAATGGAAAGTTCTGGACTCCTCTCAGTTTTGTCTCCTCTCCAGCCTCAATCCAAGGTTCTGGGCTGTCACCTGAAGTCAGGGACATTTTGCCTCAAGACTCATCCCAGCACAGAGGTACTAAAGGCCAACGGGGGAGGCACCAATCATATCCAAAAAGAGAGTGGGGAGAACGAGGCTGAACACTTGAAAAGAGAAATGTTCCTATAAAACAGGATTACTTGGCCGTAGAGCCAGTGAAAAATGATACCAATTACAGACAGCAAAATGCCACCCATCAAGTTGAACATTTTAATTCTTTTTAATTCCAGGCTATTTATGACTTTTGTCCAAGACTTAGTGCATGTCTATGAAAAATAAAAAAAGCCAAAATTGACCGTCTGTGTCAGGGAGAAGAGGGCCCGAGATGGAAAAAAAAGTAAGGAAACATTTCTGGCATATTGTCGGAGAGTTTCAGCGACTGAGTATAGAGACACTTTCTCTACAACTTACCCTTTCTCTTATTTTCTTCCTTTTGAGTTAATTCTAAGAGGACAAACGAGTGACTCGTTGTATTGGTGCTTAAAATTAAATGTGCAGTACAGGAAGTTTACAGAAGTTTTCTGTTCTGATGGATCACGCAGACTGTCTTGTTGTAAAGAATCCAACCCCTGCAACAAAACTCTCTTTTGCAGGGCAAGCTCCCGGTCCAGTTCTGCCGGAGATGGTCCAGGGCTCACAGCTGGTTTCCCGGGAGACAGCCACTAGATGGCGACAACGTCACGGTGGAGGAGGGCCACTCGCTCCTGCTGGACACCAACACCAGCATCCTGGGCTTCTTGCACGTCAAAGGTTTGCGGAGTTTGGAAACTGGTGTAATTTTATCCGTTGTAAGGGACAAGGGGGGGGAAGATCAATTTTTAGGCCAGTTCCAGCACTTGGCTGATGAGCTCTTTCTGGATTGCAGTGAGACTTGGCTGTGAGGGAGAACATTGGGTTAGGGGCTTCCAAGTGGGGACCCCTCCTCTGGACACTTTAGAAACACAAGGCTGGGTTATTTTAATTTTTTTTCAAATGCAAAAGGTTAGCAGTGTTCTCTCAAAGAATATGCTTCTTTATTCAAGCACTTTGTAGTGATGGTTGTCCCGGGCAGCCCCCGCAATAGAGCGAAATACTCTGAAATCAGTTAATGCTGTTGCCTTTGAAATTCCCTGCCAAGAAAGCAATGTCTTCCTGCTTTTACCCTGTTGTGGTTTTGACTTCCTGGTCCCATGGAAAGTCACATAAATAGGTTTCCTTATTGCACAACTGGCCACATCGCTCTAGGGTCTGAGAAGTTGGAAGAGACGGAGAATTCAAATTTTCACTCCTCGACCATATCACCCACTGACGAAGTCAGTTATTCTAGCTCTCTGTGGGCTCGCTTCCCTATCTGCTGAATGAGAATAAAAATCCTTGCCTCCTTCAGTGTCTGAAAATGAGAACTGGGGAGCAAAGGGACTCTGTGCCCTGGCAAATGGAAATTGCTTGGGAAATAGGATTAGTTATAGATTTCTATAAAACTCGACACTCAAACACTATTCTTTAATAAATATGTTTAACACAGGAACAGTTGTTCTCGTTAAAGTTAAGAACACGGCTTACAAGATGGAAAATGAAATATTTCGAAGAGGTTAACTGATACCTACATCTTGGACAGAATCGGGTTTTTCTTAAATAGGTATTTTATCATCCTATATTCTAGAAAAAAATTCTTTTTCTAGTAGCAAAGAGACATGTCCAGGTTCGTGAATTAATTCATGCCCTTAGGGAAATCAGCTGGTTAGCTTGGACTCTTGTCTGTGCAGTGTGTGTGTGTGTGTGTGTGTGTGTGTGTGTGTGTGTATGCCTAGATATGTAAATGTGAAATGTGTGTGCAAGAATACACAACTAATGTGTTAACACTATCAACTCCCTAAACATTCTCAGTCTTAGAGTTTCATCTCAGCAAGCTGATGCTCTTGGCAGGCCTTTAACCTTTCTCTCACCACAGAAATCAAATTCTGTACGAAGATGGTAACTCCTCCTGAACTGAAAGGTCTTTGCTTTTTTATTGCTAAAATTTGGGAATGGTTTGATAGCACTCAGTCCTAACCGAGTCTATGGGTGCCCTCTTGGTCTGAGGTGAAAGTTCAGTTGAAGAATCAGGTATAGAACCAGAGACTGCAGATGCAAAAGAGGCATCAGAGACAGAGCAAAGAATAAGAAAAATGTAGGGACATATGAGATGTGTATTTGACTTCCTACTCTTAGAGAGTTCAAGACCCGAACAGTGCAAGTACTTGTCCCAACCTGTTTCCTTTCAAAAGTGCTTTCCACAATAGTCTTGTTTCACGTACTAATTCTCCTGCATATTATTTAGATTAGGACCACTGGCAAGGCCATAAGGGCAAGTGGTGGTTACCAATTTCTGTACAAAATAGTATGCAGAAATTATTGCCAGGGAGTTGTGAGAGTTGCCTAAAGGAAAATTCTGAGTTTTTTTTTAAATGTTTTAATCATAGAGATGAGTCTCAGCTCTTAGAAAGATTAAGAATAGGAAAATGATACAGATCAAACTAGGTTCAACAGGTGAATTATGAATGCTTAATAAGTAGTCTAAGTGCTCTGGATGCGAAACAAGAAAAAAGTAAGAGTGATACTTAAGATGAGCAATGTGTATTTACACTGCAGAAAAAAATAATTTGTAAGTAAATATAAATGAGTGAAATTTTTAGTTCTAAAATAAATGCAGACACTAAGAAAGAATATAGACAAAAGTAATTAGAGTGTGAGAATGTAAGGTTAGATTTCAGTAGTAGAGAGGACATTAAAAACATGTCATTTGTATCTGAGGCAGCTTGGGTCATATAGATAGCAATATATACATGGAATTTAGTACAAGCCTGGCTGTCCTTCCCGGGGCCCCTAGGAGGCGGGTGGATTGAGTTTCTCTCCCCATCCTGAGCAGAGCCCCGGCAGCTGAAGACCTCCAGGACCCAACCACAGCCATGCTGAGACCACTCTCCACACACTAGGACGATCCTCTTGCATGAAGGAACTGGCAGAGGAACCCAGGTGTGCGGGACCCAGGGCTGCAATCTCCAAGCCTGTTCTGTTCGGGACTGGGCCTCCTCCACCCAGATCCCCCATCTTCCAGTATGTAGGCGTTACACCCACCAACTGCCCCCAGTGCCGTGTAATCCCATCAATGGCCAAGACCCAGAGACTATAAAACCCAGCTCTCGGAAGCGTCATCTTCTTATCTAGTTCTTACTCTGGAGAACCTGGCAGGCTGCCAAAAGTATCCTGCCCACACGGCGGAGTCTGGCAAACTCCCCGTGGCGTATTCAATATGCCAAAAATCAGTAACAATGATGGGTCTCATTCTCCTGACCCTGAAAGAGCCTAGAATGTGGCACTTGCTAAAATCTCAGGGCCAGGACAAAAGAGGCGTTACTGGTGCCTGCCCGAGGAAATCGATGAACCACAGGATGACAGTGATACAGTGAAGTACAAATGGCTTCCTTATCTTATTTAATAGATCCAAGTGGCTTAGGTTAAACCTATCTTTGATTTATTTTAACTTCTACCTTTTCTCGCATTCCATCAGTAAATATAATCTTCGACATGTTTTTTTCATTGGTATCAATGTAGTTCTAAGTAGCATAACTTTTTGAGGGAGTGGGTGGTTATTTAAAAATGGGGTCAGTACAGTGGTTAGGGCTCATGCCTAAGATGTATCTGACCCAGGTTAGATTCCTGGCACTCCTGTTCCCTAAGTGTCATTGAAGACAGCCCTGGAGGCCCAAGAAAATCACAGGGTATCACCCTGGAGGGTCGTAGCACTACTGGAATGGCCCGGGTATCCCCAATACCACAGGCCCCGAATAGCATTATAGCCTTGGACTCTTACATTTAACCACTAACCCAGTTGACAGAGAATCACCAAGGGCGATTCAGGTTCCCTGAGCCTCATTTGGGAGAACATCCTCTTGACCTCCTATATGGTTTCTGTGTTTCTAATTCTTGATCTTCTTTACTAGCAGAACATTGATTTTTCTTGGGGACAGCAATATACCCAAATAAGAAATTGTTTTTTCTCGGTTTCCTTTGTAACGTAACATATCTTGTTACTAAAAGCTGGCCACTGAGATGTAAGGGAAAGTATATGGCAGGAAATCTGGAAAAAAAAATTTAAAGCAGAACTGATCAATAGTCTTCATGCTCTATTTATTCTTATTCTTATCCTCCTCCCTCATTCTGGAATAGAAATGTGATAAATACATGTTCAGTTGCCATCACAGACCACAAACTGACTCCCAAAACTGGACCCAAAAAAAAGAAAAAAAAGAAAAACTACCCAAATTACTAATGACTTTGGAGTTGGTGGAGAAACAGGTACTTCCTATCACTGAAGTTAATTTTTATGAGAAAAAAACAAGCCTTCATTTTGGGTTTTATGCTGTATACTGAAATAACCCCCAATCATTTGTTTAAAAATACGTCAGCACGCTAAGTGAAATGAATCAGAAGGAGAAGGACAGACATAGAATGACTGTACTCATTTGTGGAATACCACTGTATCACTGCCATCCTGTTGATCATCGAATTACTGGAGCGGGTGCCAGTAACATCTCTATTCCCTCCAGCCCTGAGATTTTAGCAGCCTCTTCTTACTCGTCTTTTCCCATCAATTGGAGGCTCTTTCAGGATCAGGAGAATGAGACCTGTGGTTGTTACTGTATTTGGCGTATCAAATATGCCACGGGGAGCTTGCCAGGCTCTGCCCGTGTGGGCGGGATACTCTCAGTAGCTTGCCAGGCTCTCTGCAAGGCATACATTTTTATATTTTTCTCTATGGTTTATTGCCTACTATCTGAACCCCATCAAATATGGTGTAGTAATTGTGGAAAATGGGTAGGAAGAGTCTTATAATGTGTCGTGCGGCAGCAAAGTGGGTGCTCAGTCCGAAAAGCGGTCTGGAGCTTGGAGGTGGTTGGGCAGTGGAGGTCAGCTGTGGGGACTGGGTCTCTTGGGGTGGGGAGGGCTCTCACCTGCCCTACAGCCTGGTGCAGAGTCCGGTGGCATGGTTCTGGGAGTCTCATTTGGTATTCCCATCTGAGAGGAGCATCCTGAGTTCTGGAGGGTGGCCGATGAGAAGATTATCTCCTGGTGGAATATAAAGTAACATATTATGAGACTAACACCTAAGGACAGACAGTAGGACAGTAGAGATAAGGGTCAGAAGGATCATTCTACAGCTTGGAAGCTGATCTCATATGCTGGGGGAGAAGATTGCTGGGACGGATAAGGGAGCACTAAGTAAATGATGGTTGGAGATATTGGTCTAGATATGTTAGATGTGTGCTGAAAGTAGACTATGGACCAAACATGATGGCTGTTTGGTACCTGTGTTGCAAACCATAACACCCCAAAGGACAGAGAGAGTAGGAGGGAATGTGCCCGCACAGAGGTGGGGGGTGGAAGGGGGTGGGGTGGGGGGAAGGATACTGGGAACATTGGGGGTGGAGAATGGGCACTGGTGGAGGGGATGGGTACTTGAACATTGTTTGAGTGAAACACAATAATAATAATAATAATAATAATAATAATAATAATATGTCAGCTATAGTAACTTCTTTTCTCAAGCTCTCCTGATGCTGTCTCATGTCACTTTCTCTCTTTAAGAATGGAATTTAAAGTCTGTAATATTATCAAAGTTCTGATCTCCTTATTACTTGTGTGTTTCTTATTCATTCTATTCAAACTCTTCTATGAATATTCGAGACACACACTTCCCTCAGGGACTTTGGACACAATGTACTTTGCCT